CTCCCAGATCCATTATATGCTCATTATTTTCCAGGCACTTATTCTTTCTCCATTACATTTCCGTTCATATATATATGTATACTTCGATTGGACACGAACTAGTAACCAATGTCATGCGTTTAATCCTTATTATATTATTATTATTGTTCCCTTGGGTTCCTAGTGGAACATAGGGCTTCAACTACACGTCTCCGCTTGCTTCTGTCTTCTGCTGTTCTTTTCACTTGCATCCATGTTAATCCATACTGTTTCAGTTCCTCTTCACACGATCTCCTCCATGTTACCCTTGGACGTCCCACTCGTCGCTTCCCTTTCGGGTTCCACTCGAGTTATGGCCTGACTCGCGATGTCACCCAGCGGCCTCCTAAGGGAGTGTCCAGTCTATCTCCACTTTCTCCTGCATATTTGTTGGCCGATTGGTTCCTGTTTTGTTTGTTCCCATAGCTTCTTGTTGGTGATTCTTTCCGGCCATCTAATCTTCAGTATAGAACGAAGACAGCTGTTGTTGATAAAGGTCTGCAACCTGTTGAAAATATTCTTGGTGACCCGCCAGGTTTCTGATCCATCCGTATAGAAGAACTGACTGACTTGACGTTTGTATTGAAAATCCGAATTTTGTTGTTGATGCTGAGTGACGAAGATTTCCAGATTGGTTTCAGGTTGATGAATGTGTTTCTCGCCTTCCTGATTCTCGATTTGACATCCTCGTCTGTTCCACCTACCTGTAGTTGAGACAATGCTCCCTAGATAAGTGAATGAAGTAACCTCTTTCAAATCCCTCCCGTTGATGGTGATCGGCGCTGGATGTTGCTGTTGCTGTTGTTGGTGGTGGTGGTTGGTCATTTTCATGACCTCCGCCTTGTCTATGTTCACCTGGAGTCCTGTCTTTGCTGCTTCTTCGACCAGTTTGTTGGTTTTCGTTTGTAAGTCTTCGATTTTGTGTGACATCAAACATAAGTCATCCTTGAAATCCAGGTCTTCTAGGTTCTTCACGTCGGTCCAGTATATCCCTGTCTTCTCGTTCCCTACTGTCTGACGCATAATCCAGTCCACCACAATTAGGAATATCATTGGTGATAATAAGCACCCTTGTCTGACTCCTGTGTTTACTCCAAACGCCTCGCTGAGTTTTCCGTTGTGGATCACTTGACATGTGCCGTTGTCGTACAGCTGTTGAATAAGGTTGATGAATATTTGGGGTACGCCGTAGTACTCGAGTAGTTTCCAAATTACTTCGCGGTCAACGCTGTCGAAGGCCTTCTCAAAGTCTATAAAGTTGAGGTAGAGGTTTGATTGCCATTCCATGCTTTGTTCGATGATGATGTGTAGAGTTGCAATTTGGTCAGAACATGATTTGCCTTTCCTGAATCCAGATTGTCCTGGTCGGAGTTCTGTATCCAGTGCATCCTTTATTCTCTCCAGGATGATGCGACTCAGAATTTTACTTGGTGTCGAAAGGAGCATGATTCCTCGCCAGTTCTTGCAGAGTCCTAAGTCGCCCTTCTTTGGTAGTTTCACCAGGTAACCTTTCCTCCAGTCAGTAGGCACCTTTCCCTCCTTCCATACCTTTTGATATAATGTAGTCAGCATATCTGCTGTCGTTTCTGGGTCCGCTTTCAGTGCTTCCGGGGATATTCCATCTGGTCCAGCTGCTTTTCCAGCTTTCAAAAGGTTGATTGCATTCATGACTTCAGTTTTCGTTGGAGGATTGTTGTCAACTTGCAGTTAAGAAAGGTGCTGTTGTTGGTATTTCTGGACGGGTTGTAGGTGGTGGTCGGTTCAAGAGTCCTTTGAAGTGGTCCGCCCATTGTTTAATCTGTCTTTCTTCTTTGGTAATTGGGTTCCCTTGGCTGTCTTTTATAGGTTTCACTTGTGTTGATCTCTTCCCGGATAGAGACTTGGTTATCTGATATAGTGTCCTCAGGTCCTTTTTGCCTGCTGCCTTCTCAGCTTCAGTAGCCAGGTTGTCGTAGAATTGTCTTTTGTCCTTCCTAGCACTCATCTTTACTTCTTTGTCCAGTGCTGTGTAAGTTGAGTTCAGCGTCTCTTTCTCTTGTCCATCTTTGCATTGAATCATTTTTTCTTTCACCTTTCTCCTCTCCTCTATTAGCTTCCAAGTGTCTGTTGATAGCCATTCCTTGTCTTGTTTCTTCTTTCTTCCTACAACCGTTGAACACGTTTCGTTGAAAATTACCTTCAGAGAGTTCCAATGGTCTTCCACGGATGACTCCTCAGTGATGCCACGTAGTGTTTCCTGCTTTCCTCTGACAGTTGCAGTGAAAATATCCTGTGTGATTGTGTCCTTTAGTTTTTGAGTGTTGAACTTGCATTGTGGCCTATTCCCAACTATCCTCGAGGCTTTTAGCTTCACCTTGAAAGTCCCTTGTACTAGATAGTGGTCTGAACCCACATCTGCTCCTCTCCTCGATCTTGTGTCCAGTAGGCTCCGTCTCCACTTCCTTGGGATTGAAATGAAGTCTATCTGGTTTTTGGTGTGTCCATCTGGTGAAATCCGTGTTGCCTTGTGTATATCCCTGTTTTTGAACATACTGCCACCAATCACCAAATCATATAAGGCGCAGAATTCTGAGAAGAGTTCACCATTTTCGTTCATTTCACCGAGGGCCTCGCGACCTATGGTGAGCTCTTACTGTATTGTCTCCTCCCAGCTTCGCATTCATATCACCCATCAGGATTTTGATATCGCTCTTTGGGATGTTGTCCATTACTGTTTGTAGTTGACTGTAGAAATCCTCCTTCTTCTCTTTTTCTGAGACGTTTGTAGGCGCGTAGCATTGAATGATTGTAACCTTTTTTCCTTTTGAGTTGAACCTGGCTGTCATTATCCTGGAGGAGATTGGTTCCCACTGCATGAGAGCTTTAGCCGCTGTTGGTGACATCATGATGGCTACTCCCTCGGTGTGCTCGTGATTGTCCTCTGGGTGACCGGAGTAGATTATTGTCTCTCCAGTTGGTAGTTGGCACCTTCCGCATCCGTTCCATCTGCTCTCGCAGATTCCCAACACTTCTATTTTATATCTCCTCATTTCTGCGGCTACCTGAGCAGCCTTTCCAGTTTCGTACATTGTACGAATATTCCACGTCCCCATCCTTATTTTTGCTTTCATCGAAAGAAGGCACATCGGCTGACTGGCCTCCCGAAGGCTTTCACCAGCCTGCGTCATTTCACTTCCCCGATTCCAGCGAAAAATAAGGTTATTGTTTGTATTTTTAGAATTTTGAATATATTTGTTCGTTGAAGTTTTAGTAGCAATTTGGTTAAGTTTTGGGGGTGGAGTTGCTAGCACCACGCCCCAACCCTCCCTCTTTATGTGGACTTGGGACCGGCTGGAATACTAGTGACCTAGTAATCTAGGCGAGGTTGTTTAATCCTTGATATTGCTATCAATCAAGTTTATAGTGTGGCTGCTATGCTAACCAATGAAACATCTATTGATGAATGAGAGGGGTCTACTCACAGGTGGCGTATTGGTCCACTTCGGAAGAGGGCTGTCGAGTAGTTGTCAACTGAGTTGTACTCAACTTTAGCGAATTGAAATGTACGGTATACTTCAATGTGGTTATGGATGAAAAAACGACAGGCAAGGGAAATTCTTTATTAATTTGTTTATTAGATATATCACTCACACAGTGAAACAGTATTATTATTTACTGGATGACGTACTTTTGAACACAATCGATAATTTACATGACTGCGAAACTTTCGTTTTATAGCTTTCTTTATTCCTTCCTATCCGTCGTCGTAGGGGTAGTAGAATTCTCCAGATGTCCGGCTTGACAGGCGTTGAATCATTCCTATTACACGTGTTTGCGATTGATTCGATAATTAAAGCTTCCGTTATCAATCGTGTTCCCCCTAACCTGCTGTTATATTAGATTTTAGAACTGTCATCTTATCCCATCCTATTATGTCGTTGTATACCACTACATGTAATGAGTGTCATGGCTGAGCTATTCTCTAGATTTCTTATCTTAATAGGGCCAACTAATCTAGATTTTGCTGCTAGGTTTTTATGCTTGGCTAGTCTGACTGACCACATTCTACTAGTTTGACTTATGTATTTGATCTGACAATCATTGCAGGCAAGGTATTAGATAAACTAAATTGTTTTGTTTTAAAGGCTCCACAGGATTGATCCTTTTACCGACGAAGCTTTTTTGTAATTGAGTGTGTGGTGAGTTTAAATGCCAATTTTATTCCTGAATTGTTAAGAATTTTACTTAGAGTTTCCTAGGTTCCTTCTTTGTATAGTAGTACTGTTCGAACAAAACGAACAAAACAATTCCAACAGTGGTATGAACACGTGCAGTAATTTTGCACGAAATATTACTAATAACAAAACCTATCATTGTGTGTAAACTATTGAAATATAATTATACTTTATTTTATCTAATCAACAATGCTCAAACTGTTTACTGATATTCATTAGACTCCTTTTCTTTTCACTGCAACTGCCATATATATCACAGTCTGTCAGTGGAACCCACTTTTTTCCCCACTTTTCCTTGACTTCCGAAAGGGAAGCATAGGGTTTTCAAATTTCAGCTTTGACGTTTTAATATATTGTTTATTTTGCCTTAGACAGTTTACTCACCTCATGTCTAACCTTTCCTCTTTTTTGAACTTACAACCAGCTAGTTGGTAAACTAGGCGAAGTTTAAGAGTTCGTCCACCTGGAATTGAACATAAACCCGCCCCCCCCTTGTGTGGTTGGTGGGTACTGTATCACTGAACCATCGATGTAACTCTACCTGTTTAGTCCAGCAAATATAGAGATAAATATATAAACCACTGGGGAATACACCATAAGATTGCATTAATATATTATTTAATCTCATGTATTGATTTTGATTATCAGGCTGATAGTTATTCATTACAACGCACTACTTTATACTGCCCTTCTACCACTACTATTATTATTATTGTTGTTGTTAGTAATATTGTAATTATTTGGTTTCGTGTTCTTTAAATTTTGTAGATTCACAGAAGTGTTTAGCTTCATTCGATGCTGAGTCATATCAAGCCTGGGTATCTCGTATGTCTGAGCTTGCTCGAGGTCTTAATAGTTTAGCAAAAGAACCGGTTAGTTTCAAAGCATTTTCCAATAATTTTCATATATGTTTTTCATTTAAACCACTCCACCTCCCACCCCCCTAAATACAGCTTCGAGGGATTGAGAAATTCATTCATCCCTAGAGTTCTGAATGGAAAGTGGTGCCTTAGCTAGCTCCACAACTGCCTATTAACTTGCATTTCCTCACTCCATCTGATTTCTTCTATATCACCATCGTACACTGAACTTGACGCCTCCTATTCAGGTTCCATTTGAGGGTGTGACGTTTGTTATCCCTTTAATATCTCCTCAGTGAACGTCGAATCCAATTCCGTTTCTTTCTGCGAGTTTCTGGGTCCGCCATAGGTTGCAACAATTCCTCGTCCCATCTTTATTATCATTATTATTATTCCCTTGAGTTCCGAGTGGAACATAGGGCTTCAATAACGCATCTCCACTTTTTCCTAACTTCTGCCGTCCTCTTCAGCTTGCAACACGATTGCCCACAATCTCTTATCTCCTCCTCCTCCTCCTCAAACGATCTCCTCCATGTCACCCCTCGCACCGACTACCCACTCGTCGCTTCCTACTGCAATTCCACTCGATGTCATTCTGCGGTCTCCTCAATATATGCCCGATCAATCCATCTCCATTTTCTCCTACATATGTCTTTGTTGAGCAATTGGCTCTCGCCTGTTGGTTTGTTCCCACACTTTCTTGTTACTTATTCTTCCTGGTCATTTGATCTTGGGTATGGAGTGAAGACAGTTGTTGATGAAAGTCTGAAGTGGCTTGTTGGAAATCCTTTTCGTGACACGCAGTCCACATTCCTAACCCGTATATAAGGACCGACTTGACATATGTGTTGGAAATGCGACTTTTGTTCCTTATGTTGAGTGTAGAAGACTTTCAAACCGGTTTCAGGTTGTTTGATGAAGGTGTATCTTGCCTTTCGATTCTATGCTATATCTTCGCATTTCTTTGGTTACCTGGACAGCTTCTCAGTCTCGTACATTGTACAGACATTCCACGTACACATTTTTATTCTTGCTTTCATCAAGAGAAGATAAATCGGCTGACTGGCTTCTCGAATACTTTCACCAACCCTCTGTGTCATTTGGCCTGTCCGATTCCAGCAAAGAAAAAGAACGTTATTTGAATTTTTTGTATTTTTCATATATTTTCTGTCCATCGAAGTTTCTTTAGCAGTTTGATAGGGATTTAGTTGTGCAGAGTTGCTAGCCCAACACCAAATCCCCTCCCTCTTTACCCGGGCTTTGGACTGGCTAGAAAACTAGCAAGCTAGTTAACCAGGTGAGGTTAGTACAGCTATTTGAAGAATCTGTATTCACAACTGTAATAAAGAAAACCCAACCAAACTGCTTCCGTCAAAGTGTTTAACACGGTTAGTTTTGGTAACCAACATCATATATGAAATGTGCGTCGGTGGCACAGAGTTAGAATGCTCACAAACCACGCCTCATGTGGTTCGGGGTTCGAATCCCGGTTACAGACACACTCCTTTACCTTGCTAAGCCAGTAATAAGACTGGTAATGAGGTGGAACGTTGGGAATGAGGATAGCAATCGAAACTTTGAAAAAGGCTCTAGGTTGAAGCCCTATGTTCCACTGGGAACGGGTAGGAATAGAATAACAATAATAATAATGATACATTTCAGAGGATGGATACCAAAAAAGGCGTAGAAATGACAACTATTCTGAAATTTAGTACTGACTAAAAATAGACTATGGGTTACGTCATCTAAAATGACTTTTTGTTAGACTTATTTCGCTCATTTATGTATTCCAGTGTACTAGCTTCCAATGGAATTCGTTAAACGCGCTTATAATTGGGAAAATCAATCTGATGACAATAGATTTCTTATATTAGTCATATCTTATTTTCAAATAAACCTTTTAGTTTCCAAGCAATATGAATAACTTCAATTGGGTACTCACAATTAGAGTAGTGTAGCACCACTTATCTATTCCCCAGCTCTAAATCATTACCATTGGTGGTTAGGCGTTTATGTCATAGAGTGTCATAAGCCCCAATGGCTGAATGGCATACGAACTTGCTTTGTGACCGGAAGGTCCTGGATTCGAAACCCAATGGGTGCGTACTGCCAATGAGTCTTAAGCACTATGATCAAACAGCTGTCTAGTACTCCCTGGCGGTTTTCAATATATGTTTGAGACACGTATTTTTGTTGTCGATTTCAACACTGACTGACTGGCTGGTTTCAGCATAGAACTTTGCATCGATGTGCAGCAATTCCAGTCTTCACTCTCCCTCCACGTAGCACACAAAGCAAGAGAAGAGAATAAAAAGAAATGCGAAATACAGACAGTAAACGGAGTTGCGAGGCAAAAAGAATAGTAATATCGAAGAAGAGTATAGTTTTATTAGACATTATAAGTCACAAGGAGTGGATGCATTTGCAGTAGCCATTGAGAAGGATTTTCAGCCATATTACCAATTGTCTACAGCCATTGGTTTATATCATCCCGAGGACCCCAACCAGTCAGGAAGTGTACACCTTCCTACCTGACTTTAACTAACCGTTATTTCATTTTATTGACTGATGAAGCCATGTTTTGGTTTGATCACCACTAACCAGCTCTTTTCCAACCTGACCCTATATGTACTATGTCAGCTAATATTGCCCACTATCGAGGAAGGTGATGGCTAGGCATGTGTAACACATGTCCTAACCATATCAATCGATGTGACTTCACAACCTTGTCGATTGATTTCCCCTCCTTACCTAGCACTCGACCGTCGCCTAACCTGAATATTGCTCACCCTATTATACCGCTACACACGTGAGATAGAACTCAGACACCTATAACCATAGACAGCTAGCCAACCAGGCTTTTCATATCTTCGACTCTCAATGGCCAGATCTTATAGCTACAAAGGAGTACGGAGCGGACTGCTGAGCAGAAATCTTATACTTGTTGAAATCGACAACAAGTCTAAGATGTCATGTCCATGACTGTTCTTCTCATAGGTCCTTTGCTTTCTTAGAGCAAAGTACAGCTCGAAGCCTTGAAGGCTGCACTAGTAACGGTGTTTTTGTTTGCCGAATGGATTTTCTGTACTTATTATCGGCTAAGTGAAGTTTAATAATGCGTCGAGTGAGAATACAATCTAGGACCAGAGATGAGTAACTGGTGAACGAACAGTCTACTGTTGAATCATTTGATTCACTCCTTAAACAGAAACCCTAATTTTAACTAGACACTGGTGTTAGTAACTAGTGTAACACGTTAGTGTAGGGACATGAGTTCCTTCAGGTTGATTGCAGATACGCTCAACTGACTCTGGCAGGACCAATAAGGCACGAAACCTATGTTAAGGAGTGCTTCTTGTGAATTGACTGTCTCCAATCATTTATTATCTAGAAACCCTAATTATATACATACCTTGAACGTCATTTTTATACTTTTTACAATTGACTATAAGTGGTATCTGACATATACATACATCCTTCGATCGTAACTGTGACTGACAAACTAGATTCATGAGTATCCCAATGAGATGATGTCGTTTTTATTGATAGCCGAACCTATCACATTTCAAATGACAAAGCGTTATTTTGAATCACACTCAACTAGTCATAACTAATTTCTTTGAGTAAAGCAAGTATTTACCGCTTAGAATAGGTGACTCAATGATGGGATGCTTGGGTAGCTCTAATGAACTAATTGTTGACGAAACCTCAGCACAGATATATAAACGGCTCGTGTGGCATTCGCCAACTTGCATCATATCTGACGTAGACGGGACATCCGGCTATGTGGATCAAAGGATGCGTATACTGTGCAGCAGTCCTTTCTGTACCCCTTTATGACTGTTGAAAATATTAAGAGACCAGGTGTCTTTCACCACAGGTGTTTCCGTTCTATCTCCCGTGTTAAAGTGGTATTGTGGTGAGAGCTGTCTGCAAGCCAAAATTGTTAACAACAATTTACGTCTATGTTTACGTCCCGAATCGGGGTCATGAGAAAAAAATAATACCAAAGCTTAACATTGAGGAACTCAACAACCAATCACAGCAGACTTAGCGTGTGCAAATGCGATTCGCAGATATATGGCTTAACTTTCCGAGAAATGGTCACAAGCATACGGAATAACCTTCAGCAAGAAAACAACCAATCAAAAGAGATTGCTCCTCTGTTAAAATAACGAATAAAAATGTATATAGAAATCTATAAATATCTGTTGATTTTTTTATTAAACGATCTGTTGCCTGACCCTTGTCTTCTGTCGCTACAGAAATCTGCGTAGAGTAATAGCGGGGAGGGAGAGTAAGTGAATCGATGAAGTCGTGTATCTGTTTCGATTTAGATGCTTGGGATATATTTGGTGCATGCCCCAAGTTACTGATTTCCTTGACGAGCAATCTTAGCTGATATAAGACCATTTTGGAAAAGCGTTAGGAGTAATCAAATCGATACGTGAGTGACATCAATCCATGAGATCTTCAACTCGTCAAAAATACCTATTAGGACATTAGAAAGAAGAGAACACGAAGTTTAGCAACACATATATCTTTTCGGCGATTTCATTTTCAACGGCTGTACAATCACATTTAAATACATAATTTTACAAAGATACAATTTTTTACTTGATTCCACATAACTACGAAGGTGAATAAAAGATGACAATTATTTTCAACTAGATATGGTTTACGAGAGGCTTAGAAACAAAATTACACAGGATTCGGATATAATTGTAAAATAGTTATTTTAGAGGAATTAAAAATGTGAGCGGGAAAAGCATGGGAACAAACTTAAAATAACTGTTCTTGTAACTGAAAACAGAAATGGGATTAACTGAATGAAGACAAAGAGAGAAGAATCACACACACAGCAAACGAAAAAGTCGGAAAAAGACGGAGGCTAAGAGAAAACTCCGAACTAGGTCCATGGTAGTTGTAGAGGTTGGACTAATTTCTTTTGAAGACACAGCTCCGGCTTCTCGATGCATATTGCGAGGGCTTCTGCAATACAGAGAAGTTGGAAACATACTGCTTTTGGTAGGTTTCTGTTGACTTTGTAGATTACTTTGAATGAATCAGTTGAGATGTTTTGGGAGGTGTTGATCAGATGTTTACTAATGGCAATTCTGATTGAACCGGTGTCTCCTTTTCGCAGCCACGCTGAGTAATGTTCTCTAACACGTTTTGAAATCGACGCGCATACAACGACCTATGTACCTAGCTCCGAACGAGCGGGTGAACTGGTATAAACACATTTAATTGTTCATATGCGAGAGTTTGTCCTTAGTGTTGTTTCTCAGTACTGGACGGCTAGAGGATGTCACTCTAACTGTTGCTGCAGGGAGGGTCTTCTTTAAAGAACTGAATATTCTCTTTAAAGAAGAGAAGGCACCGGTTCAGTCAGAAGCGCCATTATTGAACATCTGATCAACAACTCCCAAAACAACTCCTTCCTCAATGGATAAATACGACCGCCTCTACTAATCAACTCGGAATGCAAATGGAATAAGGAAGAAGATCCCTTAGAAGAGTTGTATCAATTTTTAGAAAAATTAGGTACACGTATAATAGCTTCGTAAAAACGATGATTTTAACAAGAATAATTCTGAGTACACCGTAATGGTGAGCCCACCTAGTGGTATGGTGACCACATTACAAACTTGACTGATAGAATTCAGTCTGCTTACTTCTAAGTGTTCAGTTAAAATAAATATTGCATGGAGGATTTCATCATCAGCTGACATCAGTTAGAGAACCACTGTAAAACAAGCTGGGAGTACTGGACGACCGTTTCGTCCTAGTTTGGAACTCTTCATCAGTACGCAACCACCAGGTGGGGTCCGAACCCAGGACCTTCTGATTACAAGGCGAGCTAGCTCGTAGATCAATGAGCCACTGGATACCGATCCGATGGTCCTCTGATGCTCACTAGCGACTGACCCTATTCAGGCAGTGACCTGGGGTTCTAGTGGAAAGCCGTAATCACTAGGGTACAGAAGGTTGAAGGTGAGGCAGTAACTCATCAAAGAAGATATTGCGAAGTGGTCGCGCTATGTCGTGAATTGGCAGAAGTTGGAATTCAAGGACCATTGGATCAGGTCTCAGTGGCTCAATGGTCTACGAGCTAGCTCGCCTTGTAACCAGAAAGTCCTGGGTTCGAACCCTGGTGGTGCGTGGGCGCGTACTGCTGTAGAGTCCCAAGCACGAAACAGCTGTCCAGTACTCTCAGCTTGTTTCCCAATGGTTCTTTAACTAATGTCAGCTCATGATGAAATCCTGCAACCAATCAAACAAAAATCCCTACAAAACCAATACTTTAAAATAAATATGTAGTATTGCCTTCTGCACAGGTAATGAAATTATGAGTCTTTTTGAGTAGTTTACTTCAAACTTGTGAATAAATTTCAAATATGCTGACCAAATAAAAAAACATAGCTAAATAACGCTGTTCAGCCCTGAAGACAGTTTTATTCCATCTTTTCACCACTCTGATAACATGTGTTAATTTTAACCTCGTTTTTTTTCAGCTTTTCCAATCAAGTGGCAGTTTAGATACAGAAAGTAAAGAAGAATTTCACGAGTGTGGAGCATGCCTAACTTCTAAACCAAGCACTGTACCAGTATTAAATGCTTCACAAACTATTCCAACACTACCAGATAGTACTACAGGTCCTGGATCCGTTGTCGAAGTGGAACGTTCTGCATTTACAACACCTTTACCTCAACGTTCACCGGAAGCAATGCTGGCTGCATCGAACTATAGAAATTTATCAATGAATCAAATGCAAGCAGATTTGCTTAATTCTAGTGAATCGGCGAAAATCTATCTACCTGCAGCAGTAGTAAATGCTGGTGTCAGTGAAAAAGTGGCAGATCTCATTCCTTCACCATATCCATTCCCGCTAAGTCCAAATTTCGATCCTAACACTTGTGATCCAAATGAATCAGCTGTAAGTTGGGTTTCTGTTTCTTTCTTCTCCCCTGATTTCAGCTTTCTTTTCTCTCCTGTTTTTGAGTGGTTTTTGAGATGGAGTAAGACATGTGTTGCTCAATGCTGAGGCATCGCCTTCCTTAACAAACAGTGTTAGCTGACATTAGATTAAGTTGGAAAAGGGTTAGGTGGTTGGGGTGGTCAAAACAAGACCTGACATCAGACCATGAAGACTTTGGCAGTTGTTGTTTGAACCAGATGCGGAAGTGTGAACTGTCTCCCTGGAGTCCTTAGTAATGCTAAGAATCAATGGCTGGACACTATTGGTGATGATATGACCCAAAAGCGTTCTTAATGGCCAAGATATGTATTAATGAAAATAAAACACGTAGTTGAGAGAAGAATCTCTATTCGGCGTTGTTTTGCACGTATGCGTATATTGTTTTTCAAACAAAAATACGATTGGTTATGGTTATTTTAACTAAAGGGAAGGGGGCGAGAATTGGCAAGTTTTGGGCGGAGTTACGTAATACAAAAACGATCAAGAAAATTGGGTGTTATTGAAACTAGCGTAGTGTAACAAAGGTGATGAGTTGTCACAATCAGTTTTTAAAGAGGAGTGACATAATAATATAAATAGTTTGATGATTGAGTTGTACTCAGGGTGCCCATAGGAACAAGGCAGAGGATACGAAATTACGTAAGAGTTCTAAATGAATATACAGGAATTATAAGCAAATAAAGAAGCAGACAAACTAACAAAATTAAGTCATCCAAAATCAATAAAGTTGTTACCATAATAGTAGAAGTGGTTGAGTAATTCTCCTTTTTTTGTATACATAGCTCGGGGTTTTCTATGTGAATAGCCAGAGCTTCAGCAATACAAAGAAGACGAAAACGTATTGCCTTTGGTAGGTGGTTATTCTTGACTGTGTAGATTACTTTGAAGCAGGAGGCGTTTGTTGAGATAGAATGATCAGTGCAGACAAGGTGTGTTCGACTATGACACTCCTTATAGAGCCGCTACTACCTTTTTGAAGCCATGTGGAATAGTGTTCTCAAGTCTATTTGGGACAGAATACACGTCAAACGACCAATGTACCTGGTTGACTCCACAAGAACAGGTTAACTGATATATGCACATAGAAGCGGTTAGACGCGAGATCTTGCCCTTAAGGTTTCTAAAGATTAAGGAACACTACTGTTGGCGTTGTTGGGAAGAATTTTCTTCTCAAAGATGCTGAAATTCTTCTCTTAATGATATCTCAGGTTACGTCTCCCTTGAAATCCATGTTCACGTAAAGTTTCTTTTTTTTTGAAACAAGTAATGTTTCGTTCCTCTAAACTTTTGATCTGCGATATTCTTGTCGATGAATCTTAGTGGGTATCCATTTTGGATGAAAGTTTATTTCAGAAGATCCAGTTCTGCTTTCAGGGCACACATATACACACAAAAATCATTATACATTTGTTTAACTGCGATTTTACAGATTAGTGAATGAATTCGTTGCCGAAAAGAGACTTTTCGCTGAACTACATGTTTTGTTTTTCTTCTTCTTTTTTGCAAGTTTAATCCTTATATTCAGTTGTTATCTCGTCAGTGAATACCAAACATTGTCAAGTAGATAGAGAATACCCATACCTCCAGATGTAGATGTTTATATTGAATTGTGCTCTAGACTATGATTGTAAGTGGAAACTATTTCCGAAGTTATGCGATAAGTGCTCATCATTTCAGAAAGTCAGTTAACACAGATATATGAATAGAACTTGTGCACTATGGTGGCAGAGTATAATTCCATTGTTGATAACATTTATTTTGATAAAGTCTCAATCAGTGTTGTTATACAGTAATATTTACTGATGACCACGTTTCGAGATCTTCTGATCCTTTATGGATCAGAGACTTGGCGCGTCATGAAGAGCACTTTGAACAAACTACACACCCTCATCCGCAGTTGTCTTCGCTCAAGATGAGATGGCCGGCTAGAGGAGATGAGCAACAGGGATCTCTGGCAATGAACGAACCAACCCAGCAGGAACCGATTGTGCAACAAATATGCAGGAAGAAATGGAAGTGGATTGGCTGATCATACTCTGAGAAAACAAACCGTCATCAAGTGACATCACACACCTGGCCACTGCTTGGGTGGAACTCGAACGGGAAGCGGCGAGTTGGTCGTCAGTGCGAAGGTGACATGGAGAAGGTCATGCAAAGAGGAGATGAAAGCATGTGAGGAGACGTGGAGCCAGATGACAACTTTTGCGGAGAATCGAACGCTATGGAGACGTGTGGCCGAAGCCCTATGTTCCTCTAGGAACTAAAGGAGACAATAATGATAATACGTTTCGAGAACAATTTATTACTGCTCATAATCATAAACACCAAAAGTTATGCTAGAGGATTTCTAGAAGCCTCGTGGTACTCAAATGAATCGGCAAGCGATTAACAAACACATTACTGCTGTAGATCGAATTTACCAACTAATAGAAAGTAAATCATCACATGACAAGAAAGTTCAAATTACAAGTCAATTAAAAATATGATCAATAGAGAGGTAAACTAACAACCAATCACGCACAACAGTGGTTGCCAGGAGATACAATTATTTCATCATTCATGGAGAATTTAAACGAGTTCATTTTGTACTAAAGCCTGTGGTGAAGGGGAATGCAGTCTAGAAGTGGAACGATGAAAGCTCCTCAATTAAACCATCAACCAGCTCCTCAGAGGACACAACTTGATCAAAATGTGACCCACTTGATCGCCATAAATGTTAATCAAACAAACCGAGCAGTAGCACTGAGTAGCACAAAAAAAGACCTGAATGATGAAATAAAACAGATAGAAGAGACATTGGTGTTAAATAACTATCCTATAAAATTGACATAAGTATAAAACTTGGTCACTGTGGTGGTGGAGCATTACTCCATTATAAATGAGATTTTATTTTGATAAGTCACACAGTGTGTTAAACAGTAATATTAACTGATGATTAGCTTGATATGATTATGAGTGGCAATAATTTGTTCTCGAAACGTCATCAGTTAATATTACTGTGTAACACTGTGTGACTTATCAAAATAAAATCTTGTCTATAATGGAGTTATCCTATAAAATTCATTAGGAAGATCGAAAAAGACGAAAGGCAAAATAAAAATATTTGTGAAACTAGTAATGATAACATAAATAAGAAAGAATATAAGTCATCCACTGTTATACCATATAAGGAGGAGACATCTGAGACCCTCCCTATGTAGGATTCTTAATAAAGCAGGAATTAGGCTGGTGGCATTAAAACCTACAAACTCACTCAGGAAGGACAAGCTCTGTAGGCTAAAAGACCCTGTCGGTTGACCCAATTAAACAAAATAATATGGTTTACAAAATACCCCGCAATGACTGCAAGTGAGGTCAACCATATAGGTGAAACTACTAGATCAGGGGTAATCAGATTGTCGGAACATAAGAATTTAGCTAAGGTAAGAATGGTTGACCCCTACCGCGAAAATAAGTATTTTAGGAAAAACACTCAGCGATTGCACTTCACGCATTAACACAAAACCACACTAGAGGGTGGTGGGAGAGCGTTAAGATTCTAAGAAGTAATCTATGTAGGTGGAGAGAGATTGATCACTGAATCCTGACTGGTTCATTGAGTCTACACCCAACACAACACATGCAACAGAAATGATTCAATGCAAATACCAGAAATATGCATGGAAGATATTATTACCACCGGTCAGTCAGTCAAATCAGAGGAGGATAATAAATAATCTCAAAATTCTATTTCGATTCAAGCACATCACAACATTCTAACAAGTTACTTATTATGACTAAAAAAACAGTCGTCTTATTTCCCATCTGATTGTATTTGATCAATAACACTAGTATTATTATTTTTCAATGTACATTATCATCCCATATTGATTTTTATCCCAATATCTAATCGATTCCACACATGTATATTAATGAAGGAAAAAAGCTGTGTGAGTGAGTAGTGTCTTGATATGATTATGAGTGGCAATAGTTTGTGCTCAAAACGTTGTCATCAGTTAATATTACTATATAACACTGTGTGACTTATCAAAATGAAATCTAATCTATTGTAGTAATCAAGAAACCAAGCGTAAATGCGCAGGACTATATACACTACTGATTGATTGAAATGAGTAGTTTCATACTAATCATCATATCAATCAGAAGTGCTTTCTAGCCAACCGTACCGAAGTGACTGAAACATTGGACGGGGCTGTTTACCCGTTTGGGGCCGAACTCATCTCAGTGTGGTGTACCCGGTTTGACTGGGGGGGGTCAGAGAGAGAGCCGAATCAGTTGAAGTCACTGAATTTCTGGCTGGCTAGCTGCTATCTGGGCGAACTACTGTGGTGTCACAAATCGGCGTGTTTATTTCACCACAGTTTACTTTGGCAACCAGAGTTTAGATCATTACTCATCTTGAGCAATCAGTAGGACATAGTTTTATGGTATTACATTAGAGTCTAAGTGAAGTATCTGTTTAATGTTTGTGAGATAACTTCACATGTATGAATGAATGAACGTCATTATCCATTTCAACAAAGACTTTTCTTTGTGATACAGATTCAACTGAATCTATTTCTAACAATTTAAACTTCAATTTGACACTAATAACTAGTGTGATGCGTCTAGTCCTCTCTTTGGTGCAGACTGAATTCTATTGACACTGACATTTTGACACTGTTTAATTATTGTTAACAAACATATTACCACTTGTTTGGTAAATTGTTGTGTATTGTAATAAAAAATGCTATATATATTAGAGTAGAGCCAGAGATGAGGATCTAATTGAAAAGTAAATATTTCTTCGCTCAATCTTTCTGAATTCTATCAGTCAGGTTGTAATGTGGCCACCATTCTAGGTAGCTCGCCATCACTGGGTGACGCGGGTTCGAATCTCAGAAGGGATATGAGTTCCTTCAAGGTTGCAGATACGCCTTGCTGACTGGTGAGTGCCAACTAGCACGAAACCTAGGTCC